AGATATCAGCAGAGAAGAAGAAGAGTTCAAATATAGGCTCATCATCAGCTAATTTAATGGAAAAGGAAATTGTTTATTATGGTGATTGTCTATGGATTAAAATTATTATATTACTTGAATAAATGCTTTCTATACATATCATCTATCTATCTATCAATCCATATTTTTCAACCATTTTCAAAACTTTGTGGAGACAAAAATTGTTATATGCATTTCAAAAGTTGAATTTGCACTCTTTTCATCTTTTTAGATCTACTTGGGGAAGCTATAGTTAGTGGGCTAGTATCAGTGACAACATTTTACCTTATTTCACATACCATCTCATACTTCTATCAAGAAAACAAGAAAGCTATACAGGATCTCATTGATAGATGGGCATACATAAACTTAGGCCAAATAATCAATTTAAATTTTTTGTGACAAAATCATCACAGCAGTGAAAAACATTTTTGAAAATCTCTGATAGTATCATTATTCTGTGATATTTGCCAGGAAGCAAGAACACAAAATACCTCAAATTGAAGTTGTGGCACTCAAAAAAACTCCAGATGTTGGCCTAGACTGATGATTCTCTGGGATTCAAAGAGCATACCTTAAATTCCATTCCTCTTTCATTCTTGGTGTTGCTTTTTGGGATGCCCATCCTGTAGGTATATGGTAATTTAAGTTTGAATACGATGCGTTGATGGCTTGAACCATCAGGCTCACATTAAACAGTTTTCAACAATACTACTCCTACCCTACCTAGCTACGCAACAACAATGCAGACTAAACATACCTTGAAAATTATGGTAGCGATCCTTTCTGAATGTATGTCCCGATCCTGATAAGTCGCCATATGTTGTGCTATTGATCATCACTCTATAGTGTCTTCCAAAATCATTGACACAAACTTCAACACCAGTATCAACACCAGTGTTCTAATGGTGGAATCGAGGCTGAAATTGAAAATCATCAGAAAAGTGTACTTACATGTAAAATCATATTCTAACCAATGCCTTCCAAAATAAAATTCGACCATTCTTGCTGTGGAGTTTATCACTGATGGGTATGAGCACTACATTTCATTAAGCTAGAAGGCTGTAAATACATGATGAAGACACAACTAGCAAACCTGAATAAATAAACTACCAGAACTAAACACAAAGAAGGATGCTTGATTGAATGAAAATCCGAAAAAGTAAAGGAATTTATCCATATTCAACAGAACACATCAGGGACCTGACAGTGACACAGTTTTGACACTTGATAAAATAATAATAATTCATAACCTATGTTATTGGAAAACAACCGAATAAGAGCTAAACAAATGACTTCTCCGCAAAGGACGGCAAGTAAACCCCTCTGGTGGAGAATACACTGAACTGAGTGATTGGACAGTCATGTAGTACTCGTCAGACAGTCCATTTAGCCGTCATTGCATAAACGATATCGCAGTGATTAAAATGAGAGAGTACAAGACTATCGCACAACTGTATTTTCAATTTCGCATTCAAAAAGTGTCTCTGACTATAAATGAACTTCAGCGAAGTATATGCATTTCTCAACTTCCAAGTTATATGATCTTTGAATCGTAATTTGGAATCCATAATCAGTCCAAGGTTTTTGCAGGTATTGTTGATTTCAATTCTATCATTTCCAATTCGAATATTCAATATTTCGATGGCCTCAGTTCTTTGATTATCAGATCCAAACAATATCGCAAAAGATTTATTCGAGTTGATTTTCAATAAGTGCACATTAGTGACGTCAAGAAGTTTATTCAAATCAGAGTTAATAAGTTCATTAGCTTCACGTATATCAGAAAAATTGAATGAATAATACAGCTGTGTGTCGTCTGCGTAGAAGTGATATTTACAATGATCAATGTGTGAAGAGAAGTTGCTAGTATAAATAGTATACAATAGAGGACCTAAGATACTTCCCTGTGGTACCCCTTGAAATATTTCCAATGGGATAGAAATAGAGTCATCTATCTTTACTTGTTGAGACCTGTCAGATAGATAGGACCTCATGAAAGCGCATGCAAAAGGATCAAAGCCAATAAAATGTAACATAGAAATCAGGATATCGTGATTCAAGGTATCAAAAGCTCTTGAATAATCAATCAAGATTAGAGCACATATTTCATTGTTATCTAGTGATTTGATAATATCATCAGAAATCGCAGAGAGAGCTGACGAGCAACTGTAACCAGCTCTGAACCCAGATTGATGCATTGGAAGTATAACATTCGTATGAAGATGTATTCGTATTTGTACTTCAAGTATTTTCTCTAGAACCTTTGACAGAGTAGGTAGTATGCTGATACTTCGTAAGTGACTGAATTCTGTTGGTTGTTTAATTTTGGCTAATGGGAGAACCAGTGCGTGCTTCCAGGCTCTAGGGAAGTACGATTGGTCCAAGCATTCATTCATTATATGAGTTATATGAGTAATTATATATGGGCAGCAGAGCAATAATAAATGTATGTTGATGCGATCAGAACCAAAAGCCTTTGTTTTTATATTTTTTATTATAGCCAAAACGTCAGCATCTGTTACATGAGAAAAATGCAATAGATTATTAATGCTTTCTTTCTTCCTGCTAGAGTAGAAATCCATTATTTCAGGTTCGGGGAGTCGGTCATTTTTTGATGCATTAATAAAAAAATTGTTAAGAGTATCTACGTTTTTTAGGTTATCGGGCAGCTGTATCTGGCTAGTTTTCAAGATATCAAGTTTCCTAAATGTTTGCCACTGTTGCCTGCTATCCGAATTTCGGAATGTAAATTCTAAGTATACTTTTTTTTCTCTCTTGATGGAAGATGAAGTGAAGTTTCTGAGTTGTTTATAATATTCAAAGTGTACGGGTTGTCGAGTTCTTCTGTATCGTCTCAAGGCATTGTCGCGTATTTTTTGCATGTATTTTATGTTATCGGTTATCCAAGGAGTGTACTTTTTCTTATCATTATTAAATCGTGACGTCTTCAGCGGAGCGTGTGCATCAGCCAAAGATATTATATTACTATTCAAGAATGCAATTTTATCATCTATTGATTCGATGGAATAAATTTCGTCCCAAGGTAAAGTCACTAGATCTGTTTGAAAAAGATTGTAGTTAATCTGACTAAAATTTCTATAGGAAAATCGTTTCGATGTAGGAATTTTGTGAACGAATTGAAACGAAGAAGAAATGACGAAATGATCAGCTATATTTGCGTCATAAACATCAGTACTGGCTATGTCGAAGTTGGTGAAAAGTAAGTCGATTAGAGTTATGTTAGTATCTGAAACACGAGTGGGATTTTTTATTCTCTGAATTAATCTGAAAGTTTCTGCTATGGCAAGTAAGTCACTTGACAAATTCGAGTTAATATCTAATAAATTAATATTGAAATCACCCATACAAATGATTTTATCATAATCAGAAAATACGCTGATCAAGGTATCTTCGAATTGGTTCAGGAAAGCTCCACTATCAGAGTTTGGTGGCCTATAAACAATTCCCAAGGCATACTTATTCTTTTCCAACTTTATTTCAATCCATAGTTGTTCTAGATACTCGAATGTGCCATTCTGAATAACCTTGTACACCAAGTTATTTTTTATATATACACCAGTTCCACCACCTCTCCTCACTAGACGGTCAGATCTTATGAACCTATAGCCCTCAATATCTAATGCTCTATCTGGGATTTCTGGATGTAACCATGTCTCAGTGAGACCTATTACGTCATACTTTTTCTCCTTGATAACCAGATGTAAATCATTCAAATGAGGGACTAAAGATCGAACATTGACATGAGCAAAAGTAAAATACATATATATATTTTTATTATTACTTCAAGTTTTGATTAATATGAGCTTTATCTTTGAATGAATGGAAAGAGATAATTACACTTAATATTATTGAGACTTAATAAAGAGATTAAAATAAATATTATTGAGAGCTTAATAACCAGAAAAAATAGATAAAGACTAAATGTGTTTCAAATTTATCCCCCCTTTTGGGAAGACGATGGTTTGAGAATGCTTCTTGTGGATGGTTTTCTATCCCTTTCTTTCTGTCGTGTCTCTCTCTTCTTAATGTCTTTATTGGTTACTATTTTTGTTTCTTCTTGTAGCTCAGTGGAGGATTCCACGTCATCCACGTCATTCCACATAATTGCCCTATTATTTATTGATATAAATAATGCAGCGAACAAAATTTCAACAGTCCTTCACAAAGAAGTAAGGCAGTAATAAAGAAACAGCAACGCTTCATCTCGAAAGATAACTGAGATATCACACACAATAAGCATCGAAAACTGGACACATTGTACATATTACTTCAGCGACCTGTATATAAATTATATACACATGATTAACCTATTGATCAGAAGAATTCTACAAGATTTATTACATACGAATTTCAATACCAGTCATACAGGATGATTCATTTTTCATTGTAATGATCATTGTATTTAGGGCATATTTATAAATTTCATAATTCTAGTATAAATTTATTTAAGAAGAACACCAATTCCAACCTTATTTCCCTTGGTTCTCACGATGTTCTCTGAACATCAAAGGATTTCCTTTTTCGTGGAAACCAGAACATGAAAAAAATAGATTTACATTATGTGATCACTAATCTGATGACAACTCCCACACTGTCCATGTTTTTGTGCATCAGTTATGTTTATTGCTCATTATGGGAATAGAAGGGAACACCCTGTATAAACTGATATTATATCCTCAATATTTCTGGACTTAATTCCTTCGGAAAATATTTTTTCCTCTTCCTGTAGTCAGCTGAATTTTCACATGCATTAGATACAACCTGTATAATGTGGCTCTGACGTAGTACAGACCGATTCTCAGTTCAAAGATATTGCCACTCGACAATTCCAAAAATATCCGCGTATTCCTTTTGTTTCATTCATTGCGTAGAATGTTATCTTTTCATCAATGTTTGTTAATCAATAATTGAAATTTGTCTTGACAGGTAGATACTTGTACGATAATATATTTAAGAACGAGAAATGTCACAAGGCGTATCAGTTAAATTTGAGTTACAATCAGAAAAGGTATGAGAAATTCGATTTTTGTTTTTGTTACATCAATGATTCGTTTCATATCCTACTAAGCAAAATATTATTCTACCAATATTGCAGCAATATTCAAACGTAATGTATAATATAATTCGTCTCGTGGGTGATGCCTCGCTCACAAACTCACTCACTTTTCTGGAACACCGTAGAAAAGTTGGCGATCTGGCTCTATTTTATAGATATTCTCATGGACGATGCTCTCCTGAAATATCAACAATTTTTAATCCCTTAGCAGTCCCCGCGAGAATAACCCGTCGAGTTGAAGCTTCGCACCCCTTCGTGGTCACTTTGGAGAACTCCAGAACATCCATATCTCTTTCCGAAGACTCGTTCATTCAACGAAGAGCAAGGCTCTGGAACACATTGCCAAGGAAGGTGTTCCCAAAGGCATAATATAATCTCCAGAAATTTAAGAAGAACACCAATTCCTACATTACAGGATATCGCTTTTCGTTAGAACCAGAACATAAAAAAAATTACATGCAAGGAAGAGTACAGTAAACATTACATATCTGATGTCGCGGTAGAGACGAAGATAGAAATAGTGCAAACTTTGGAATGGAACCATCATTGAGGACATGAATCTGACCAGGACTTTGTCGATAAACAAATATTGAAACAAGTATCAAATTCTTCTTTGACTTTGCTTATGCTTTTTCTCAAAATTCGTTGAACTATCATAGTCAAAACAGAAATTAGGATGCTCCCAATCATTTCTCTACTAATTTTTTTTTTTTTGTGTTTCACGATATCTAGGAAATACAGATCTGATTTGGACACTCTTCAATGTAGCGATTCGCATTTGTTTATTTATATGGAGCGCCAAAAGGTAGTACAGATGAGACCCTACAACTTTCATATTTGAGGGTTTTTTCCACCTCGTTTAAGTAGTTGACGCTGTAGGTAGGGGTCACAATTTGAGAAGAACATCAAAATCTAAGCATTTTTTGAATCTAATAAAAACAGATAAAGACTTGAACGATTCTGATGTTGTTCTTATAATGATTCGATCATCAACACCTAGGTATAGGTACCTACTTATAATATGCTTTTCTTATGACAACATTTCAGGCTTGTATAAGTGAATGCGAGATGATTAACGATCCCAATAGTCTACATTGAATTGCTTTGATGTCAGTTTAACTGATTTTCCAATTCAAATAGACATCAAAGGTTGTTCATATTAGGGAAATAATCTCGTACATATCCATTGTATGCTGTATCTATATTATTGATATCCTCATAATTTTTTGAGAAATAAGGAAATCATTCTTTAAAATATCTAAGAGGAAATAACCACTTTCCCAACTTATTGAATTATTGAATTGTCTTTTATTATCGATAAATTGATAACTATCTTTCAATTAATGTTATAGAGAATATATTTTCTCACACATATATTATTCTCTGCAGAGATTAGGGGAGTGTATTATAATCTCTGTTCTCTGTTATAGATATTTGAACAATAATTATTGAACATTTTCTTCATGTCTTCAAATTTGACATGTGCAATATTTGGCTGATATAATCCAATATTCTGTGGTATCAGCCAGGAAAGTTTCTCGAGAAAAATTCTCCGCAGGGGTTATTTGGACAATGGGAAAAAGTGATTAGATCTTATAAAAAAACATTTTCGATTCCCTTTTCAATTAATTCTGTAACTATTTCTCCTTTTTGTTTTTGAATATGTGAACACAACTTTTTTCCTCCATAACATCAGGTGAGTTTCTTAGATCTGTCGTTGTTGAAGACTTTTGTCTGACATTATGCTTTGTTTTTCTCTTTAGTGCTCCTATGTGAATTTATTGCTGATGATGAAGCTCTGAATCAATAGCAAAATATCCCACAAATAGATGTTATTAAAATGTAAACAATTCTCTGTGTATATTATAATATCAACACATCAATTTTCATGATATCTTCCATATCCACATCAATATCTATTTTCACGTTGTTTCGCCGCTTCCACTTCAACATTCTATCAATCGAAGTTGAGTTAAATGTTTTAATCATATGGAAATATAACGTTTCCTCGCTGTTTCGTGAAAATGACGTTCCTGATACCGACCTGATACATCGAACTTACAATGTCTATAAAACTGAAATGTGCACATCACAATGAGAAAATCCCAAACAACATTTATCAACGCAGATTATAACAAGTGGTATAAACGTCATTTTGGTATAACGAATATTTTCATACTATTTAGGTTGTTTCATAATTGAATGTCAATATTCGAGGAGGCGATTATTGGGCCCATTCTAAGAAGAAAGTTTCATATGAACGTATGACCTCAACGTCCTAACTTTTGAGATACAGGGTGGTTACGCTCTCAAAAGTTAATATAGCCTACTACAATGAAAAGTTATAATTACAAAATACCAAATACGAATACGAAATTTATAAACTATGAATTATATTTCTGAAATTTCATCTCAAAAATAAAATAAATTTCTCTGCATTGTCATATTATTGTCATATTGACGATATTGCTATCATCATGTAGTGAAAAGCTTTTTATTATTTTGAGCGGAAACCGTGCACGAGATTGAAAAAATTGTTGTGATCAAATTTGCTTAGAAACGATTGGGAATTTCAGGAATGATTTCAATTTCGAGATTAATCAATGGCGTACCATCAATGTCTGCCAAAATAGGTATGTGGAATTCCATACGAACGTCACTGGTGGCAACCAACAACAATTATGGTACACTAACTGATATTGATACATAGTACATGTATAGTACAGGGTGGGCAAAATTGGGCGTTTTCACCGTCTATCTCAATAACTAGAGGAGTTATCGAAAAACCGATATACATGTTCCGGGTTCGATTTTGGAGAAACCTCGAATGGCACAATCGAAATTTCGATATCTTCATTCGTTTTAGAGATACAGGGGGAAATTGAAAATTTGCCGATTTCGATTTTATTTTCTGACTACTTTACGGTGAGAGGTATCAAAAAATTTCGAACGTATATTTATACAGTATGATGCGTGGAATCCATTGGCATCATCAGAAATTTTATACAGGGTGACGTTGAAAAGATACGGCAGCCAATTATGTTTTTTCTAATGGAACACCCCGTATATTTTGGCACAGTTGAATAGTCCCAGGAGTTTTCATTACAAATATATATATAACCCCACCTTTTCCTTTCACAGTTTCAGATATATTCGCAGAAATATATTCAGTGTCACATTTCTTATGGTTACACCCCCGTATCTTCTGTAAAAATAATTGAGGTAGGATTCAAAAATTCGCAACTGTCAGAAAGATACAAATGATACACTCATGGAGTCATGGACCAAGTGGGATCATCTCCAATGATAACACTGCTCGCCTGCAGCTATGGAATCATCGATATTTCTGGATAATGCTACCAACAGGCAGAATCGAGGTTGAAAATGACACTCTGTATATATTCACCAAATGTGGGAAATAAATATCATAGGGAATGTAATTTCCAGATAAATGGATATTTGGTGAGAAATAAAATGGGAAATTATTCGATTTGATATCATTGTTATCAATACATTTGAGATACAGAAATAAGACCAATAATTTACTCAATTAGGAAATCAGTAGGTTGCGTTGAAAAATATAGCCTTATAGTAGATGTCCAAATTCCAGATACAGAACAATTTTTTTTATGGAACACCCCGTATATTTTGGCAGAGCTGGAAAGTTCCCGTTTCAATTTCAAATATATATCTTATTTATTATCTCTTTGAACGCAAAAATATTAAGGCATACTAGAGATAATGGGTAAAGTATCATAATCAGGCATTCTGCCACAAAATATTATGATTGTTAATGTTTCCATCAATTATTCTTACAGAAGATACGGGGGTGTAACCATAAGAAATGTGACACACTGAATATATTTTTGCGAATATATCTGAAATTGTGGAAGGAAAAGGTAGGGTTATATATATATTTGTAATGAGAACGCCTGGGACTATTCAACTGTGCCAAAATATACGGTGTGTTCCATTAAAAAAAAACATAATTGGCTACCGTATTTTCTCAACGTCACCCTGTATAAAATTTCTGATGATGCTAATGGATTCCACGCATCATACTGTATAAATATACGTTTGAAATTGTTCGATACCTCTCACCGTAAAGTAGTCAGAAAATAAAATCGAAATCGGCAAATTTTCAATTTCCCCCTGTATCTCAAAAACGAATGAAGATATCGAAATTTTGATTGTACCATTCGAAGTTTCCCCAAAATCGAACCCGGAACATGTATATGGGTTTTTCGATAACTCCTCTAGTTATTGAGATAGACGGTGAAAACGCCCAATTTTGCCCACCCTGTACATGTATGCCAAATTTCATTAGAATATCTGTACTGGTATTACAAATAATAATGAAAAACTATTATTGATAAACGAGTGTCTAGAAGAGTTTATGAACCCGTCACATACTATACTTTTTCTACGAACTCATAATTCCTATCTTCGACTAGATCCCATATTTCCAAGAATTAGATTTGCTAACCCACAAAATAATTCGAAGGGAATGGGAATTGAGAACATAAAACATGGAAGTATGCAACTGCATGCAACTAAAGTATAAGTTATATCGGTTGTAGGTGTGCGTCCAGTCGATAGGAGACATGCATTTTTTGTTTACTGACCTTTATTGTGGATGAGATTTCATCTGACGTACAGTAGATGAAAACTCTTCGATTCGTTGAGGTATCAAAGTTTTCGATTTCTCAGGTTTGTATCCATATTATTCTGATAATAATAATTTCACTCACATAAATTTTGTGTTTTGTGTTTATTGTCATGCTTAGCATTGAATGAATTGCCCACAAAGATGTGAGCTTCATGCAAGTATTTACCTTAAACATTCTCTTCGATTTCACTTTCGTCTACATTCAACATAGATTTTCTAAGAAGAATTCTGATTGCAACTTAACTCGAAAATGACAGATGACAGCTCCTACAATTCACAGGCCGGACAGGACTCAAAGGACTGATGGTGTGTTTCAAAAACTCTGTTGCCATGGTAATGTGTTCAAGAATTCGACTTGCCATAGTAACGTGTTCAATATTTTGAATAAATCATAGATCACCAATCCGTGATCAATCGATCATTTAGCGTGGTATAATTATATCCCTACTCTAAATGGTATTTTAGTTATGTGAATAGAAAGATAAGATAAGAATAGAGAAATAACCTGACAACATTGAATACATATTATTATAGTCGCTCCTCAAGTCCCTGTTTCTGTTCGGTGCTTATGGTGACCTCGTCCCTAAGAAGCAGTTTCCAATTCATTACCGTAATATGAGCTCAAAGAAAGTTGAGCATTCCTTGATCCAATTTCTGGTATTATCTCAGGTTATGTAATGAATTTCATGAATGGAATAATGAAATCGAATGTAGCAATAAAATAAATATGCAATTCTTTAAATTCGTACAGAGAATCTGAGCCGAGTTTATCGATTTCCAGTAGAAGCTGTTTCAAGTTTAGTTGAGAAGTATTTAATTTTTTTTTATTTCAAATCAGGTAAATATATTACGAGTAATGAAAACTAAGCAAATTTACAATTATATATAGGTATCATCTTGATGATTTGTTTATGGAATTGAAATACATACATTTTTAAACACTCATAATCTCGCTCATAATAATAGCAACAAGGAGAAAATCATCATCATCAATCAAATGGATATGTTTCCTCTGCCTAGCATATTATGAAAGAATTCGTTTTTAATAAAGTAATTTTTGTATTGTAACTTTCCAACATCATCATCGATATAAATTCTTCGACCCCCTCTTTATTTCGCGGAACCTCAAAAATTTATCATTTGTTGTTGTTGTTTGAACCAACGTTTGAAGATTCAAGTTCATTACTGGATTATTAGAATCTTCCGATAGTTTCGATGTCCACAATCAACAGTAAACATTGTCAAATTTGACATTCCACATTTTGTGACAAACAAGTGACATAAAACAATAAATTTGGTCACAGAACACTAGAATAATACACTGTTGTATGAGTTTGAGGGCTCCTTTCAGAAGGAATACTCAAGGGAGGTCTATAAAACAAGTTCAACGTCAAGTACTGAGGAGTCCTCAAGAACCTCAGATAAGGAAGACTTGAAGGGTTCTTGAGGAAACGACTATAATGATGAGACTCTTCGAGCATACAGATGATTTACACAGGAATTAGAAAATTCTGAAATCAAATAAAATCATGGTGAAAAATTCATCCTGTTTCCTTTTCCAGGAGTTTCAGCCAAAATGATAGCCTTTGGATTGTTGGCTCTGGTATCCCTTACCGAAGAGTTCTCTGTCTCTGTCCCATTCCATCCCCTCTCCGATGAATACATCGACCACATTAACAGCCTCCAGACCACGTGGAAGGCTGGCAGGAATTTTCCCAAAGACATGCCCCTGTCCAACATCAAGCGTCTCCTGGGAGCACTCAAGAGCGAAAACAAGGAGAATTTACAGACAGTTCACCACGTCAGAGGCGATGACGAGGTCATTCCTGATACCTTCGACGCTCGTGAAAATTGGCCGGATTGTGAGTCCATCAGATTGATCAGAGATCAGTCGAAGTGCGGATCATGCTGGGTGAGTGACCAATATTCAAGCTTACATCATTTCGGAACTACGAATGATGGGTCCCAGTGGAAAAATGACTGAAATAATTCAATGCTATGACCTACACTACTCTGCATGCCTACATCACCTAAAGCGGGCAAACCTCAATTGGTCAAAACGGCTCACATGTCCCTATCTCAACTTTTGATCAACTATCTACTGACATTTGATTGAAACAAATACAGGGTGGTGCAGAATTCAGAATCTTGATCACCCGGTATATGTCCCAATTAAATATCAGTAGATAGTTAATCGAAAGTTGAGATAGGGACATGTAAGCCGTTTTGACCAATTATGAATAGTTTCGACACAAAAAATTCTTGAACTTGGAAAATCTCGATTTTTCACACCCTATATTTCAGTAATTATACCTGCTAGACCCCAAGTATGGGGTCGTTGAAATCAGCTCATCAGGGAGAATCTCAAAATGAAATAATATATAGGGTGTTCGATAGAAAAAAGTTTAACTTCACTGTTTTATGGTGGTGGTGGCCCACCCTGTATACACGTGCATACAGCTAAGCAACCCTCATTCATGTTTCAGGCAGTAGCTGCTGCTGCTGCCATGTCTGACAGAGTCTGCATCTTCTCGAATGCAACCGATCAAACTTTGGTATCCGACGAGGATCTACTTTCTTGCTGCTCGGATTGCGGTCATGGATGCGGAGGTGGACGTCCATATGCAGCTTGGGTATACTGGCAACAAAGAGGAATCGTCACCGGAGGTCCATACAACAGTACAACCGTAAGTGAACAGTGACAGTATGTTGTAAAGCCAATTCCTATGTTTTGGAATCACACTGTTTATCATTATATCGTGAATATAGGTCTACTTTGTTTCATAATTTAATTGCATGTTTATTCATATCATTGCAATATAAACTGTTTGAATGATTATATCCATACCGTCAGGGGCTCACAACTTGTGAGTACGGGAATGGTGAACCCTCGGGTGAACCCAAGGTACCCTAGCCGGATATTCACGATACTTCAACTTGTCTTGGGTATATCATCTTCTCTCTTCTTTTTTCAATCTATCTATCGGCCTTTCTTGGCCAACTTCTCTTTTCCTCCTCTTCTCCAACCCCAACCTCACCATCAAGTGGTGTGGGAAGGGCAGATACTGCGGCCGCTCGACGGGTGAAGCATTTTGGGACCATTTATGCTATCTCCGGGCCAGATAGAACAATGTGTGGACATCTGTGGCAGGGATGGGGGGATTTGCTGATGTCTGTCTAGGTGGTCGAGGACTGGTCAACAAGGCTTTGGCAACCTAATCCAAGCGGTGGGAACCCGTGGTGATGGATGAATAGCACCGAGGTATGGCATCGCTAACGGGGCCTCTGGGAAACAGGGAGACATCTCAGAGTAAGTGGCCTTAGCCCTGTGCAGGGGGCACCACAGGGCTGGACCAACCCCTTTTCCCGTCACTCGTAGGAGAAGGAAAACTTTTGTCCTTCTTCGTAGACGAGAACAGGGATTGGAAGAGTAATCTTCAGGAACCTGAACGAAAAGGGTCTTTCATATTGAAATGGCCCTTGATAATCACCATGCGTCGTATATGGTGAAATTGATAACGGCATGTAGGTAAGATACAATGGGCTACTAGGCCTAAGTGTCGTCGGAGACTTCGGTCAGATGAGCCTAAAAAAAGGGGTGGAGTGTTTAGTAGGTATACTTGGAGTCAGGGGACTCCCACGCTATCATATGGAGGATTGGACCCATATGGTGTTCATTAAGGATTTCAACCACCTCGATAAAAAAAAGTATCCATACATATATATTTTGAATTGCTGAATCTCTGGTTTCTACCTCAACCTCATCCTGTTTTGATTGGATCATAATAATTATCAGACGATCACTGATTATTGGTTAATACCTTCCAACGCGGAACGCGTCATAGCTTTAACATGGAAACCAAGGATTAATCCTTTCTTCAGAACACTGAGTTGTAGAGTTTTGGGTATGAATTATGAAAGACGACGTGATTCAAAGGGTTCGGCTGTATCATCAAATGCTGAAAAGTTGATTATATACTTGAATTTGCACCAGATTTGAGTATCATTGTACATCAACCCCTATAACTACCCCAACAAGTGGGAGTGGAACCATTGCCGGACATTTCAATTTATTTGTCAAAGATGTTATAACTTCGAGTGTTATAATATGCAAATGACTTCAAAATATTTGAAGAGATTCAGCATCATATGGATAGTGATCTGCTGAGATCTGATTTGACTAACTTCAATGTCTGGTGTTGGGTGAATTACTTGGACCTCAATATTTCAAAATGTTTCGTATCAGATCTTGAATGGGTCATGATCATTTAGATGTATGACAATTTGATATTCATCATGGAGAGCGTGGACAGGAAATTCTGAATTGAGAAAACCCAATCGCGAATCTGTGATTAGAGGTCATAAAAATAACAAGTTTCCATCGTTCAAGTTCGAATCCCTTGATTGGGTATGAAAGGGGAACGTCTCGTTCGACCCAATTTTCGATTCGCCCAATTTTCGATTCACCCAATTTTCGATCCACCCAATTTTCGATTCTCCCAATTTCCGATTCACCCAATTTTCGTTTCAAGCAAATTTCAGTTGTCACTAATATACATCATAGGAATGTTCATTTAGGCCGAGTAAGGTTAGATTGTTCATAAAATATAGTCTCTCTTCTTCTCTCATGTAATTTTCTGAAAAATATACTTTCAAGGAAGAAGATTCATTTAGGCCTAGTTAGGTTAGATAGTTTCGAAAAAGTAGTCTCCCTCTTTATGCTGAGAAGGATATTTCAATGCAATAAAGATTTTGAATTCACCCAAGTGAACTATGACGATGAAGAAAAGACTAGTAATAACTTCACCATTACCCAAACTCTACCTGAAATACAGCTGATGAAGGATAATGAAATATTTCATCTGCAACAAGAAAACGAATTACTAAAAGAAGCACTAAAAGTAAAGAATGACATCATTTCAGATAATGAGAAAGTGATAAAAAGACTCAATAGTCAGGTAAGCTATCTAATAGAAGAATACAATAAAATGATCAAGGAGAGAAATGATAAACAAGATATTATATTGAAGGAGTTGAATTTATTAAATGAAAAACTTGACAAAACTTTAAAAAACTCGAACGAAATTGGAAACAATGGAAAAAGTTATTCTGATATACTCAAAGGTAACAATCAGAAGCAGAATATACCCCCACACAATACTCCAGCATTAATCATAAAACCGAGAAATAATCAAACTTATGAAAAAACCAAAAAAGATATCCAAGCTAAAATAAATCCTGTTACAGCCAAAGCTGGCATAACAAAAATTCAAGAAATTCAAAAAGGAGGAGTACTACTGAAATCTAATTCAGAGGCAGAAATAAAACGTTTACAAGAAGTGACAGAAAAAGCCATAGGAAATGAATATATCATAACAACATCCAAGCTCAGATCACCCAGATTAGTTTTCATTGGAACAAAAAAATATAGAAATACAGAAGAATTGAAGGAAGAACTGCGCATATTCAACTATATAGATGATGAAGATATTCTGAATATAAAATTTTCCAGACAGTCAAAATACACCAAAAAATATATAATTTATGTGGAAACTAATGGTAAAACATTTCGAAAGTTAGTTAACAAAATTATAGTTCTTGGATGGCATAGGTTCAATATTAGAGAAGATTTAAATATAATGACATGTTCCAATTGTAATGCTTATGGGCACCTTGGAAAGGATTGCAGAAATCCCTTGAGCTGTTCATTTTGTTCTGGGAATCATAAAAGTAATGAATGTGATAATCATAATAGCCCTTGTTGCATAAATTGTAAAATCGCAAATGATAAATTCAAAGTAAATAATACGTATAATCATACTTCTGATAGTGATGAATGTCCAATTTTACAAAAAAAAATAGCTTCAGCTAAAGATAGAACAAATTATGAATAATATAAATTTTGGTAAATTCACAAAAATCAATGATCTGAATATACTATACTTAAATATTCGAAGTATGGCTAACAAAATTGATGAAATAGAAGTTATATTGAAAAATAATAGAGAAACTCATATCCTGATTTTAACTGAGACTTGGATGAAATCAAATGAAACAGATTATGTTAATATTCCTAATTTCAATAGTATCCACCATTGTCGTGACGATAAACAGGGAGGTGGGGTGGCAATTTATTTAAAGAATGACCTGATATATCAAAAAATTGAAAGCAATATAAATAAAGAATACAATACCATTGAAATTGATATTTCCCAATTCAATTCCAAATTGAAAATAATTGCCCTCTACCGACCACCGAATTCAAAAATTAGTGATTTTTTTGATTATATTGATAAAACCATGGAGATTCATGAAAAAATTGTTATAATGGGAGATATGAATATCAATCTCTTAGAAGACAGTAATGATACTACTAATTATAGAAACATAATTAATAGCAATGGTTTCCATATCATGAACAAAATTGATGCAATGTATTATACCAGGAAACAAAACAATTGTTTCAGCATTCTTGATCATATTCTTACTAACTGCTACCACCTGAATTTCAACATAGAATTAGAAGATACCTCAATAAGTGATCATAGAATAATATATACATCCATTAAAAAAACAGATATTGTATTGAAAAATTATAAAAAACGAGAAATAATTAAAATTGATTATCATAAATTCAGAAGAATATTATCTGAAAATCTAAATAAAAGTCAGTGCAGAGAATTTCAAGATTTAATGAATTTAATTTTGGAAGCTAAAGAACTATCTTCTATCAAAACAAACATGAGGATTCGTGAAAACAATGACTGGATCACTAATGCGATAATTCGTGAAATTGAAATTAGGAATAAAAAATTTGAAATATTCAAACGAAACAATCATAATGTAGAATTTCTTACTGATTATAAAATTCAAAGGAATAAAGTTAATGCCATGGTAAAGAGAGCTAAAATTGAATATATCAATAGAAAATTTGAAGAATCTCAAGGTAATCCAAAGAAAATGTGGGATACAATCAATTACTGTTTGAGAAATAAATCGAAAATTTCCGAGAAGGCAGATATTGAATCTTTAAAAATTAATGGCCAAATTATCAATAGCAATCTAGAAATAACTGAGGCAATGAACTCACACTTTTCAAGTATTGGTGAAAATACTGCTAATGAATTGAAACAATTCTACAATTATATGACTACTGACAATATTGCACCACGTTACAATGATTCAACAATACTTCTGATTCCCACTGATGAATATGAAATAATAAATACAATTAGCACTCTTAAAAAAAAATGTCCTGATCCAGAAGGTTTGATTACACGAGATATAATAGAATTGAAAAATATTTTGGCCAAACCACTAACAAAATTAATCAATATATCTTTCACAACAGGTATTTTTCCAGATGAATTGAAAAATACCTCTTTACGGGCTATATATAAAAGTGGTGATGCTCAAAATCCAGTCAATTATAGGCCAATAGCATTATTAAGTATTTTCTCCAAAATTCTAGAAAAAATTCTCAAAAAAAGAATTGTAGATTTTATCAATAAAAAATATGGATTCGATTTGAACCAATTCGGATTTCAAGAAAACAGTGGTACACAATCTGCTGTGCTACAAGTAATCAATTTCATTCAGGACAGACTTGACAAAGGAAATTATGTAGTAGCGATTTTCATGGATCTAAAAAAGGCTTTTGATACAGTTGACCACAATATACTTCTGAAAAACCTTGCTTCAATGGGAATCAGAGGAATTGGACACGATCTCTTGAAATCATATCTTGAAAATAGAACGATTATAACTAAAATTAATAACTGTGAGTCTAAAATACTATATTTAAACAAAGGGGTTCCTCAAGGATCAGTGTTGGGTCCAATTCTTTATCTATTATACATTCAAAATATTGAAAGAATGAATTTGATAGGAAACTATACCATATATGCAGACGATACAGTGCTTCTATATGAGAATAAAAACCCAGTAGTTCTAGAACATATCATAAATGAGGACTTGAAAAAAATTGAGAAATGGCTTTATTCCAATCTTCTTTCTCTCAATTCTAATAAGACTCAATATATGATTTTTCGTCAAAGAAATAAACAAAATATTGATCTGAATATCAGAATAAAAAATGAACGTTTGAAACAAACTGCCCATACCAAATACCTTGGTATTTGGATTGATGAGAAATTAACATGGGGAAAGCATATTGACATCCTCATAGGAAAAGTATCTCCCATTATTGGTGCTTTGAGAAGATGTCCTAAACTTAGTACATATACATCAAATATCATTCTCTATTCACATATACTCAGTCGAATTAACTATCTCATAAATATTTGGGGATCTTGTTCCAAAAATAGTTTCAACAAAATTTCTGTTCTATATAAAAAGGCATTGAAAGTATTGTATCGTCTTCCATATGACACTCCAACGAATCAACTGTATAAGGAAACAAACACATTTTCTTTGGAAGAGCACTTTTTAATCAATACTCTCAAAATTTCCTATTATATCATCAACAAAAAGCTTAAATCAAATTTTATATTAATCAGGAATTCTGAAATTCATGATCATCACACTAGACAATATAACTTGTTTCATCTTGAAGCTGCAAATTCTAAACTTGGGCAAAAAAAGTTTACACATGAGGCGATTTCGAAATTTAATAAATTACCAGATGATATCAAAAACAGCCCAAATATTATGCAATTCAAAAATAAAGTTAAGAAATATATTTATATGCAAAGGAATGATCAAAGCTGAAAGACCATGAATTTCCTTTTTTCTTTTTTTTTTTTTTTTTTTTTTTTTTTTTTTTTCACTGTTTTTATTTTTCCCCTCATCGTTCACTATAATATGACTGTATCTTAATGATATGTAAGTTTTGTTCACTATTTGTAATTTCAATTATACAACAGTCGATAATACTTCATGAATGATCTTATACCAGGAATTACTGTCTGATCATTCATGTCATTCCTACTAGAAAATTAATTATACTTTATATATTATTTGTATGAAATGTATCAATGAAGAAAAGAATGTAATGCAATAACTGAAATAAATAAATAAAATAAATAAATAATTAGTAAATTGGGTGAATCGAAAATTGGGAAAATCGAAAATTGGGTGTATCGAGAATTAGGTGTATCGAGAATTGGGCAAATTGGAATATGTACCATATAATGACATACATATTATGTACATCAATAAATTGAAATATTCAATAATGATTAACCCATTCAGATTTGGCAACAACGATCGTTTGGGTATATGCGGAGATGGTGGACGAATCCAGAAATTGGATGAGTCGAAAATTGGGCGAATCGAAAGTATTGAAAAGGAATATTCATAATATTCGCGATAAGGTTTTCTCAACTCAGAATTTTTTTTCCACGCCCTGATTGACCACGACAAAAGTGGTGTAAACGGCAACGTCTGTCACCGGCACTCCTACTTTTCTCCTGATATTAATGACTTCCTCGTTTATAGGGGTGCAAAGCCTACTCTATGCCACCCTGTGAACATGGTGGCACCCCTGGCAGCCTTCCCCAATGCCCGTCTAAGGGCTACAACACCCCTGGTTGCGTTCGCAGTTGCGATAAGGGATCTACCCTCTCCTACAAGGAATCAAAAACCTATGCTGCACAGGCTTACTATGTCGGTGTGAATGACGAGCAGATTCAGTTGGAAATACTGAAAAACGGTCCAGTGGAAGCTTCTTTTGACGTGTATAGCGACTTTTTAACTTACAAAAGCGGTTAGTAAATTTTGAAATATAACATGAAATAGTCATAGATATGAATTCCCTCCTATTGAATTGCTGGACATCTGAAATTGCTGTAACAAATTCCAATTTGAATATAACATCGATTGATTCCTTGTGATATTTAAGGAAGTAAAGTTCATATAAACATGTGTCCTAACTTGCTTCGTTTTTGAGATACAGGGTATTAATATTTCCATGAAAAATAAGGTCTTTATTCATTGCTCAATTGTCTTTTCATCAATTTCAATGAAACGTTGTGGGGTTGTGGTTTTGTTGGTAATTTTTTTTTTTTTTTCATTTATAGATACAACTTACAGACATCATCTAAACAGTATTTAAATGTGAGTGAGTGCTTATCACTAGCCTGACACAAAAAAGGAAAAAAAAACACAAAAACACTAACAGTAAACCTTAAATAACTAAAACCTATCCATACAAATCTACTTAAAACACTTTTTAATATCCAGAACTGTACAGTTCAACAAATCTAAATCAAAGTCCCTTGATAGAATATTGCACTGATTTTGCATATAATTCATTGGAGAACTATTAAAAGGACTACAAGAAAAGAGATCACAATTGTTTATTCTAAGGTTAATCTTTGGTACATGAAACTCTAAGAAGTTTATTAAGTAGCATGTTTTATATTTATAATTATTCACAACACTGTGCAAGAACAAGACACAATGCATATTTCGTCTTTGATGTAATGTTTAGAAGTTGAACATTTCAATCAGATTTTTAATTGGCATAAGATAAGGAAACACTTTATATCTCTTGAAATATAAATACCTCAAGAATCTTTGTTGTACCCTTTCAATCAAAGTGATGTTACTTTCAGCTTCAGGGGCCCATATTACTGATGCATCGCATAATCAAGATTTGGTCTGACCAAGGCATTATACAGACGAATTGTTGTGTTTATGCTGAAATGCTTTGAGTTTCTAATCACAAATCCTAGTATTTTGTAGGCCTTTTAACAATAAGGGTATAATAGTCATTAAATTTCATGCTGGCCTGAAGGTTTATTCCCAAGTCTCTACACTTAGTTTTTCTAATTATATCATCATCACCTATCATATATCTGTATTGGATGAAGTTAATCTTGCGGGTGAATGATATAACTCCACACTTCTCAACACTTAAGACCATCTTGTTTTCTTTAAACCACTTTATAACTGGAGTAAGGTCCTCCTGTAATTGTTGACAATCATTAAAAGTGTGTATGGTTTTAAAAAGTTTAAAATCATCTGCAAAAATAAGACTAGTGGAGTATATGTGTAATGGTGATATGGAGCTTCTTCTAGTGCAATTAGATTCGAAAGAATATTTCCAGTTTTTCTGAGTATCATATTTTCATCAGATTGAACTATTGAAATAACAACTTATTCATTCTTTGTGTGATTTTTGTAACTAGCTCAGTTTTTGGAGAAATAATGAAAATATGATTCAACTCCAAATTTTAATGTAGGTGTTTTCAAGACTTCCATTGAGCTTACTCAATTACCCCAATTAGATTCATTTTGAAATTCTGGGGCTTTCTCAGTCTCCATCCTTACTGAATTTTGGCAACATGAAAGCTCATACAGTTGGGTTATGAATCCAAACCATTAATACTTCCAACTTCAACATCCTGTATCTCAAAAACGAAGCAAGTTAGGACACATATTTATATGAACTTTATCCGCTAGAATGTCACAAGGAAAAAACAATTGAATTTTTTCGGTGTTATTTAGATACTCCCTGTATATGAAAGGGATCAAGGCGAGCGCAAAGTCATCTCCACAATTCCAATTATGTGAATAAAGCAAGGGGGCATGTTTCGGACTTATAAAAGTCCATCTTCGGACCAATTCGGATGTTACTACAAGCAAAGACATGTGAAAACATAAAGTTGACCCACATATGGGGGTGAAACAGTTTTTTTTATGTTGGTGTCAAAGCCTGTCGTAATCGCATAGTTATCACGTGAAAATATAGTATAAACGAGTTTTCATCAACATGTAACATAAATATGTCCTCTTGATCAATCCACATCATTGAAAGTGTGGAGATGAGCTTTCTTCATCCCTTCGAAATGTTCCACTCCACTCTGAGCAAACATGGATTTCTACCAGAGATCACAATATACAATGCCCCAGAACAACGTACCATGAAATCTACAAGTTGAACTAGAGATCAAAATAGGCCGATTGAAATCAACTAACCTCTATACGAAAATGCACCGTTGAGCATTATTGGAAAATTATCGCAATCCCCATAACTTACCTTCACCGGAAGTTCACTTCAATTTCTCAGTTGTTCTATTGGATCTGATAATATCTCATTCCAAATGGTTCATCTAATCGATTCTCTCATACTTACGCAGAGCGGCGAGTGCGGAAACGAAACGACCCAGGTAGCAGAGTGACGTCCGATTGACGTCATTTTTTGGTCATAAAATGACGAAGTGGACGTCCAAAAATGACGTCTGAGAGACCCTATAATGACGTCAAAATGTCACAGCCATATGACGTCATATTTAGACGTCATAATGACGTCGCAGAATGACCAATAAAGGACGAATTAAAAAAAATTAGGAGGTTTATATATATTATATACGGTATTAGTTGGTACATAATTACACCACAAACCTTTGATGACATTTTGTAACTATACGTTGTGGTCACTTGATTGATGGTCCTCCCGGGCAGTCCTGTTAGCGCTATCACTACTACCTATGAATCTCTATATGTCAATATCGTTAGCAACTCGTATTTGTACCTAAAATTATGTAGCGAGCGTCGGCGAGATGTAAGCTGAATAAACTCATTTTTAGCTAAACTATCCATTTCTGAGAATTCCTTTGCAACAGGTCGATTTTATTTCCGATTTGCCACATTTGAAAGTAAGAATCATATTTATACAGGGTGATCCACGTTTAAGTTAAGACGTCCGCGGCAATTTTTTCAATTAGAAACAATAATAACCTATATAAGATACATTCAATTTTTGAAATATTCATGGAAATCTGAATCTAAAAATATATTACACATAGGGTTTGTATACAGTGTGTCCGTTAAATTGAGTGATCTCGCGTGAAGTGAATGAAGTAGCCAATCAATGAACTTATAACCATACAATTCCTTTCTGAGGAATCTCCCAAAATAGGTCTATTTTTATTTTCAATCACTAACATTATTGAGAAAAAATTGAACATACAGGGTGATTCAAGTTTGAGTTACAACGTCCGCGACCATTTTTTCAAAGGAACACCCTATATGAATTATTCGATTTTTGGAGTCTCTATGGAAAGCTGGATTCAAAAATATATGAGTTTGTATACAGTGCGTTCGTTGAATAAAGTTCTTTTGTGAAGTTGCGAATAAATTCGTTGAGAATTAAAAAAATATTTTTTTTGAGAGAATAACGTTCGAAGCCGTAGAATTTTATTTTCATTCAAGCTCTATCTCATACTGAATCAATATATACAGAATGATTCGTGTAGGAGAAATTACGTCATCTTTATTTTTTATTTATTGGCGATCCAATTTTACGAGAGAACTGAATTTAACGAACGCCCTGTATACAAACCCTTCGTGTGATATAAATTTGATTACGAAAATTCAATAATATATATCTGTTTAAAAAATGTGTCGTGTACGTCATAGTACCAACTTGCATCATCCTGTATATTTGATGATTTCTCGTTATAAATGTGTCAAATTAAAAATAAAAGCCTCTCCTGTTTTCTCAGAAATATATGAGGTAGATAGATATTGGAAAATGAATGAATTTATTCACTACTTCACGAGAGCATCTAATTTATTGGACGCACTTACCTATACAATCCACATGATATTGTGTTGAACATTTTCGAATTCCGCTTCCTATGGTTATTCCGATGAAAGAGTAATATATAGGGTGCTCTGTTTAAAATATTGTCGTGATGGTCATAACTCAAACGTGGATCACCATGTATGTATATTCTATTTTTCTCATAAATGTGGCAAATTGAAAATGAAAATCGACCGTTTTCAGCAGATTCCTCAAATATGCATGATTTGGCTAAAAATAAATTTGTTCATCAGTACTTACGATAACACTGTATATTCGAACACAAATTTAGTACGTACAATTAACAAACGATGAAAAGGTAAGAAAGCGACTGTTTTTTCTTATTTGGTCGAATATACGACTTTGTAGGGACGTCATTAAGACGTCCAATATTGAACGTCAATAAGACGTCATGAAATATGACGTCATTTTTTGGTCCCTCTGAAGTCGGGGACGTCATTGACCAATAATGACCCTAAAAAATACGTCATTATGACGTCATTTCAATAACCTGTGCTACCTGGGGAGCACAGGAAATGCACTTTCCAACGAGTTTTGTACACCATTTTTCCTACGACCACAAATATTCATATTCATGAGTGTTTATAAGACCAGAGTAGGGATCATGTTTCTAATCATATTCGATCACATGAAGGTGATATCATTATCATTATTATTTCATTTTACTTCAATATTTAAATGGCATCATTAGTTCAACGTTGACTTAACATTAAATCAATATGAACTTGACATTAACTCAACATTAACTTAACATCAACTCAACATCCACTCAGCATCAATTTAACATAAATTTAACAGTTTCTTAACATTAACTTGAAATCAGCTTATCATTGACTCAACATCAACTCAACATTAACTTAAAATCAACCTAACATTGACTTAACATCAACTTAACATTGCCTCAATAATTATTCAACATTAACTCAACATTAAATCAACATTAACTCGAAATCAACTTGACATTACCTTGAAATCAAATTAATATCAACTCAATATCAAATTGACATTAACTTCACATTAATCACTGAATTGCCAATACATTGACTTCAATTCAACTTTCAATTGAAATTAACTTGATTTCAACTTTTCATCAACTTAACAATACATCAACATTAACGACAATAACTCATGTTAAATCGACACTAACTTTCCATTCACTTGGCCATAACTCAACTAACCAAATTCAGCATAATAATCATTCATTGGTACATCATAATCTATGGTACTGTGCGATTTTCGAATATTTCCACCCATGTGAGTTTTGCTTTCGAACTTTCTGTTATAATTATGTTATCATAGTGAAACGAGTCACTTTCTCAATAACAAATCAATGTGTTTTGTGCTGTTTTCATAGGTGGTCGTTGGAAAAATCTAATAGCTTGTCAGTGACAATTTGTTTCGAAAAGAGTTTGAAGAGAAGAAATACAGATATATTGATATATTTTTCTTCGAAACCTCTGTTCTAGTTTAACACTTCTTCTTTCATCAACATTCAGAGTAACCTTCAAAAGTTTGTAAAAATTAGTGTGAATACTCAAAGCCTATACCTACGCAACCTATCATCCCTAGGTACGCACGATGTTCTTCGAACATTATAGGAATTTCCATTCGTGCGCTCCGAGAGATAAAAGAAAATAACTGTCATGTTTTTTTTCAAGGTATTTACCAACGAACTTCAGATGACAGTATTGGAGGACACGCAGTCAAATTGATTGGTTGGGGTGAAGAAAACAATGTTCCCTACTGGCTCATCACAAACTCCTGGAACGAAGACTGGGGAGACAAGGGTATCTTCAAAATCCTACGTGGAACGAACGAATGCCACATTGAAGAAGATATTGTAGCTGGTCTGCCGCAATTGCATTAGTCGCCTGGAATACTGGTTGCTATGCCTGGAAAATTATTTATTCAAACTATTTCATACAGTCTACCTGGACAAACAGAAACACAGTTCCAAACGAATTAAACAAATTCGATTCTTATTTATCCTTCCTTTTCCTTTGATTTTTCAATTTTCCATCTCAGGATTTCAGTAAGGTTATTCATATTTTTCTATCCATGTCAACATTTCATTAGTTACCGGCCACAGCCTGACAGGATACTAAGCCCAGGGACACGGATGCACAGGACAGGATTTCTTGAGGAATAGAAGAGGAAGAAGAATTGACGACTAGCTTGTCAGTGTCAGTGGAAAATCATTGAATAAATTATTAGAACTATTCGGAACTGAAAACAATGACAACAGAGAAAGAAATATGAAATATGCAAACACAAAAGACCGTTTATTCGCAAATACCAAGTTCTGGATTCTTTACACAGGTCGGGTGAGTATCGGTATGAAAAGCAACAGGAATGAAATGACTCCATAAACAGGATGAATAATAATGGTGAAAACTATGATACAAACTGCAACAGGAAAACACTATGCATTAATACTTCACACTGGTTTCGAATGAAATATGAGAGTACTTGGAGATCAGCAAGAGAACCAAGACCTTGAAGAGCAGAGAGTGTATAACGTAGATCAGGTAGTGCAGACTTGTCGTGAAGAGAGAGGAGTAGGGAGTGATCCCTTGCTGTCTTTAGTATTTATATTCCCCCCTTGACCTCGATACAAGGACAGCTCGATCCTAGGTTCTTATTGGTCGGAATCCTCAACTATGGCTGCAGGAACTATCATCCAAAAGCACATATTCTCAAATGCGGAAAAAATGATACTTGACCGTATATGGGCAGAGGAATAGAATCTACTACCCTTGCTAATGCTTCTGAATGAATTTTACTGGAAAATATTCAATAACAGAAAAGTTATGACCAGGTAAACATCCATCATTTCAACTGATGAGTAATTTAATCAAATTTCATATCATAAGCAAAGGGTTGCAACATATTGGGTTCAAGTTTCGTTTAGCTGAAATCAGTTATGGAAAATTTGTTGCTATGGCAACCGTTGTCATGGTTACAGGTAAACAGAAAACAAAATCCCGTGGTGAGGAAATGCATGGTTGCCAAGTTGTATCGGGTTTAGTATAGCTGAAATCAGTTATGAAAAAACTGTTGCTATGGCAACGATCGTCATAGTAACGAGTAAACAAAAACCCGATTCGCGTGGTGAGGAAATGCGTGGTTACCAAGTTGTATCGAGTTCAGTTTGGCTGAAATCAGTAATGAAAAAACTGTTGCTATGGCAACGATCGTCATGGTAGCGAGTAAACAAAAATCCGATTCCAGTGGTGAAGGAAATGCGTGGTTGCCAAGTTGTATCGGTTTTAGAATAGCTGAAATCAGCCTCAAATTTTGTTCCACAAAAGTTCTCGATAGTATTCAAACAATCACTTGATTAGAATGAATACCCTTCTCATCAATTTCTTGAAGACTGTTCGTCGTTGATGAATTCCCAAAATTACTACTTCTCTGACGATCATATATGGAAATAACGTCAGGAAAAAATAGGCTTTGTTATTGAACAGAGCTAGACAAAATAGCGAGCGACAAAATAGTGCGGAGCAAATAGCGCATAAGGAAGGATACTACTTACTCTAAACAATCTAACCTAACTCTGCTTAAATGAACCTTCTTAGAAAAAAATATATTTTTCAACATCGATCAGATTTGGGAGCAAGGCATCGTTCGTGTGTGTTTGAAGACTGCATAGAAAAGGACACTACTTTTTCCAAACAATCTAACCTAACTCGACTTGAATCAACCTTCTTCTTGAAAAACATATATTTTCCAATATCGTTCAATTTTGGTAGCAAGGCATCGTTCGTGTATGTTCGAAGACTGTTGCTGAATCAAAATGTGCGCGTGAAGAAAGGTATGGGTGAATCGAAATGAATTCATTTCGATTCACCCATACCTTAAGGCAAATGGAAATGTGGGTGCGTCTAACGAAATGTTTCCATCTGTATTAGACAATCAGTACCTGTAGTCTCTCTTCCTATTTCCTGCGCGATACCTCGTAATGAATATTCCAAAATGGCTCTGTTTCTTTTTGATTTTGTCGAATAGCTCGGCACGCGAAGGATGGTTACATTGAAGAGTGTTTTTGAAATTGATGAATGAAGCAATAATTCTCCGATACAACTTGGCAACCACGCATTTCCTCACCACAGAAATCGGATTTTTGTTCACTCGTTACCATGACGATCGTTGCCATCATGGCAATAGTTTTTCCAAAACTGATTTCAGCCCAACTAAACCCTATACAACTTGGCAACCACGCATTTCCTCACCACGGGAATCAGGTTTTTGTTTACTCCTCACCATGACGATCGTTGCCAAGGCAACAGTTTTTCCATAACCGATTTCAGCTATACTAAACCCGATACAACTTGGCAACCACGCATTCCCTCACCACGAGAATCGGGTTTTTGTTAACTCGTTACTATGACGATCGTTGCCATAGCAACAGCTTTTTCATAACTGATTTCAGCTAAACGAAACTTGAGCCAATGCATTACCCAGCTGTCCCAGGTTTTCAGGTTTTGAGCTTTCGAGCCGGTGAAATTCAACAAAAATCAGGCTCAGGTACTCAGATTGTGATCAGAACCAATCTAGTAATGAAGCTGGTCAAAAACACTTCATTACAAGGTTGATCAGTGTCTTCGATTTTGCTCGGTTGAAATTGAGAGGAGATCTTCGGTCTGCCGCAGTCCAGAAAGTATGCTGGTTCATTCTCCTCCATTCCAGAAGAGTTTCTGCCTATACATATTGTTGAGTTTGTCTAGGTATACCCAAAACATTATCGAGTTGATGTCAAAAAAGATCAAGGCATCCACGACTGCTTGACTATCGGAGAGGATAACGATTTCCTTGTTCCAGTATTTTCTGTCGAGGTTGTACTGAATGCACCTTTCTATGGCTTGAATTTCCGCTTGAAAACGATGCTGCTCCAGTTCCCTCAGGTGTTTTAAACCCGTCCGTATACCATATCATGGTATCCTTTCCCAATGCTTGGAGGGATTCTGTAGATATTAATTTACAAGTTTTGCGTCCATGGAACGATATTCATCATAATTCATGCCAAGATATCGAATTTGAACGGAATTTCATGTGCCGTTTCAGAATTATGAAGCAGAAACGATTTGGAAATTGTAGCTTCAGCGACCAAACTATGCAACTGGGTACTTATAGATGAATCCGCTTTAATCTAATTGTTTTGATCTGAGAATCATGTGGTGGGTTTTTGAAAAGACCTGTATATTATTGTATAGTATGTAATACACAATACACTGCGACCTAATAGTAGATTGTTAGACGCTCTGTCTCACAAATACAAAATTCACTTGTCAAGCAAAGTGTCGCTTTTGATCCGAATGAAAAATGTAATTTTTTCTGCAACCGAAAGAATTAACCAGAACCAAAAAATGTGAAGTAACCACCAATGTGACTATAATAATATGAGTAAGTACATAGAAGCAAGACCTCAGACTACTTCACTTTGTTACAATTTGTGTTGACATGCATCATGTCATCAGAGACTACAGGCACGGATCCAATACTTTCCGAAACGTGGATGCAGTGCAATGCATCAACATATAATCCGTGTGGTGAGAATATTCTACCTGCATTTACAGATCAGGTTTACTCAATCTTCGAGGATGTTCGAATTGTAGTTTTAATATGAGAACAACAGTGACCTATTTGTGTATTATATTGAATCGATGAATTAATTTGGACCAGGTGTCAGCCCCAACAGCAAATACCACATCAGTGCCAGATATAGGAACAAAAAGTGGGGAATGTTAGGTCAGTGAGCATATCAACAATAAAAATAGCGATTATTCATTTCTCTATTTTCTCTCCATATTTCGATGTCTTCACCTCGGTAATCAAATGAAGGTAATCAAAATTGTTGTGTGAGACAGAAAGGTACTGCTGGCCGTGATTATTCATATACAGACAAAAATCAATCGGATCTCGAATGAACTACAGATCGAGCAAGAATGTGAATCTCCTTATCGAAACAAAAAATACTCACCTGTAGGATGTATTTATTTCTCCAGCATGGTTATGAAAAGCCAAATTTGCCGAAATAGGAAGGAAATCAGGTATGCGTCCCAATCCAAATAACCAATTTCGACAATGTTGTTTATTATTGATTACCACTACATACTTTTTAGTTTCTAGGAGCTGACGTTCAACTGTAGCTCCTAGGAACTGGAAGTGTTGCCTAGCAACATACCTATGTTTGTGTCAGTAATAGAAACGTCAATTCAAGAGCTAATTTTTATATCAAAATGGACGACTTTTGTGTCAGTTGCAGAAAAAAGATCTATTTTGCCCCTTTCCATCGCTATACCCGATAAGGTTGTTCTTCGTAGCTATCGCATTTTTTTCAGTCCTATATATCCCTCAGTAATTTCAGGATCTGAGGTGGTTCTAGGTAGGGTAGCTCCTTCTTCTCTATCAGGTGATCTCCTAGGTTGCTTGTCCTTGGGTCCTGTAGGGTGACACTTTCCGTAGGTATATATTATGTGGTTAGAGGTTCCCTCCTCTTTCCCACAGAACCTGCATTCGCGTCTTCCTCTTTCAGGCCAAGCTTCCTGAGATGTCCTTTCAACCGGTGGGAATTTTACCAGATGTCTGATCTCTGTTTTATGTCCCTCTCTCCTTATTCCCCCTGATAAGTACTGCTGCTGATCTCTCAGAAAGGTTCGGGCCCTATGAAAAGTGTTTGAGCTACTTTCCTAGCGAGTTTGTCCGCTTCTTCATTTCGTTCTACTCTGTAATGTCCTGGGACCCATAGAGGAGTGGCTGTCTTTCTGGTGCTTCAATGGCTGCTTAACCATTGGACATGACAATTATATCCCGTCTTCCGAAGCTTTCTTCAAGATTGAACTGTACACATTTCCACATAGCGTCAACTTTCGCCTGCAATATGCTTGGGAATTTTCCAATAAAGGCTTTCGAAGTACTTGATGGAACGAGGCCCGTACACTCCTATTCCAGTTCCTTCTTCGGATTTTGAGCCATCTGTATACCACTTCATGC